TCCCTTTTACATTGACTCCATTTTATTCAAAAAATCGTGGGGAAACCTGGCTGTATTTAAAAAAGGCTACATCGGAATTTATCAACAGATGTTGCATAAAACCCTGTTCAAATCAAAATCATAATATCAGAAGTGTTTATACAGTAAGCTGTTAATTAAAAACTGCATGTTATAACGAAATATGCTTTATATTTCTAAAAGTGTTTTACTGATTTTGTTGGCTTGAGGACTTCTTAAGTAGTGTTACAAATGAGAGCTAATGTTCACTTCGAGTACAATTCTAAATAGTCGCCGATCGACGTCTATGTAAGTCTTAAATAATCGATTCTAGATTATTGAAATGGTTTGAGAACGGTGCACTGTACGTACACTGAACGAAAATTTTAACGATACAGGAAAAGCGCTATCTAGGAGGCAAAACCGAACGAGTGCAGGGATGGTTTTCACTCAAAGTGCTGTGGAAGACGTAGAACGTCATTATGAAATATTCTAAGCTTAAATTTTCAAGATGCTGTAACGTAAATGCCTTCTACAATAAGGAACAATAGAACCATGAACTCTTTAATTTTTGGGGGGTGCTCATAGAACGACGGTTCTTTAGATAATGTACAAGGCTGGCATTTTTACAATGTAAAAACAGTAAACACTCTTGTTAATATGAAGAACCTTCATTATATTGACATTGAAAAATATTTTTAAAAAATGGTTAAAGTGTTCACGGTTCGAGTGCCCTCACTATAAGATATTATTATTATAATCATTGCGTTTCTAAACACAACTCACATTGAGAATGAAATCAGCTACCTCTTTTGCTTCACGCCATGTTGTTTTATATGTATTAATTTTGGCAGCTTCTAAACGCGTTTCCAAGATCACAATATCATTGTTAGCTCTTATTTCGAATCAAGCTGTTTGAGAATAATTGTAGCATACATTGCACAATGGAACAAACTGTTTCCAATTTTGTTGATAAATTAAGCAAATGGTACATTCCCGAAAAAAGATAAAAAATGTGTTACGAATCAGCTATGAGTAGTTGGTGTAAATTTACGGGAAGTAAATGGTCACTAAAACTTTAGATTGACCTGCTATCTTTTTTCTTCTAAGTGTGAAAAAAAAAAGAACCTGACGGCTTAAAAATAGTGGCATGCATATAAACAATCATAATGTCTCCTCGGAAAAAAAAAAGTTCAATCAATCAAGAGACACATTTTTCAGATTAAGTCAACTGTGCTATTCCACCAAAATATTGAAAGACTAATACTGATAATAATAAAGAGTACAAAGTCACTTTACTAGCGTAAAGTGAACTGAAAGTGGTTTTAATTAGAGTAGTTATCGTTTGTGAGACAAATTTGTTTTAAATCTCGCTAGTTAGTCAGTGCACGGTATACTGGGGCGTGATGTTTTTCAGAAGGCAAAATTCAATGTAGTTTTCGCTGTCATTTTGATTGGCAAAACCAAAAGTTCCCAAATCTTTCAGATTTTAAGAAAACGTCGCTTTCAACAAACTAATTGTCATATGATAACTGTTTGAAAGAATATGAAAACACCCATGAAGTCTCCTTGTCTCACGAAGTATAACCTTTGAATATCTCAATTACAAAAAATACTTTTATTCGTGTAAAACACCATGATGAACTTTTAAGGAAGAATTAGAAAATTAAGTTGACAGGAAATTGAAAATTTGAGCCATGTTTCGGTTTCACGATACGTCTTCATAGCTTGGACCCAGTTTGACTCGGCTAAGTGGTCATAAGCAAAGCTATTGACCAACCGCTGTCATCTCATCAAGAGACCAATCAAAACTTCTTTATTCCTATTGCAATATTGTTTACTGGCTACTTATTGATGTCATACATTAATTGTAACTTGACACCAAATCGTGAAGGTATTGGATCACTTAAGGTGAAGAGGTCTTTGCAAAGGGAATCAAACGAATCATAATGGCTGAAATGTGATGTATACAATAATTTGTTTAACACATGAATAAATACAGCGATATTTATAGATTTTTGGTAAAACCCCTTATCACGTTCAAAGTTGTTCGATTTTTTTTATTGATCATTATCTGTGACAAAGTCTCAGCTACGCTGAACAATGAATAGTCAAACAAGGTGGATAGTTCGGAAAATTTTACAAATTTCAAGCTGGAATTGAGATTAAGAATGTCCCCTGGCTTGGTAAACGGAAATATGTATTTGGAGAATAGTTTAATAAATTGCTGTAAATCTTTTTGGTAGATGTTTTAAAATCGTGGCGTAAGACGCGTATTAAGAATTTTGTACGTCGCACTCTCGTCTACTGTAACAAAAGTACAATTCTTTAATTCAGCCCGATGAAAGCTTACTTTCTTTTCAAGAAGGAATTAAATGTAAGATTGTCGAAGATTCCTGCAATAACTTCATGTTACTATACATTAATATCAGCATAGAAATACTTCCTCTTATTCTGTCGAACTGTATAGATTTCATTGTTGTAACTGAGAAAATATAAAAACACATTTTTAGTCATTATCATGTCTTTACAGTTAATAGCTTAAAGCCGTAAGGTAGGATAAGCAGTTCTAAAATTGACGCGCAAGTATTAGGAAGGATGTATTTTGACAAATCTCTTAATTCACCAAAGCCTTTTTAATACAAGCCATTTGCACCTCTCATCCTGTCCTTCTGTAGATGAATAATACTTTAATGTAGCCCAAGTTTAAGTTTTATTCCATACCTTCGTTTCAGCTTACCCGCTTTGCGAAAACAAGTGAAGTAAGGTTGATTTTATTTTATTTACTTATTTTTTTTCTAACGCACAATGAATTTCATCCTTTATTCACTGGAAGTTTTTCCTCAATTTCCGATGGGAAAAATCTGCTCTTAAGTTTAATATCCGTCACACCTCTGTCTGGCACAAAGGACTAAGCTAAAGATTAATGGAGGATGTTATCAAAACGGCAAAACCTAATTAGAGCATCCAAGTTTTGATTAATCATGTCGCGACGTTGAAAAACATTTCTCAGCCATTTCTTCAATTGCATTGAAGTTTAAACTTTACAAAATTATAGTTCGAAACGGTTTCTTTCTGTCAAAAAAGTGAGTATCTTAATCAAGTACTTGGCGAAGAGTTTGTCCAAATAACAAAACGTGGAGGAACACAAAATTATTTCGAATGAAACTTAGATTTATCTTGAACTCAGTGAGTTAGTTCCGCTCAACGATTTTCGTTCATGTTGCGCTGAGCGGAATAAATCGTAATATTATAATGATGTCTGCAATAAAAAACTGACATTATCTTCTCTTTTTGTCGTAAAATCAAAGAAGACTTATCTTATCAAAATTGAGCCTTGGCCTCATTTTGGGCTGCAAGAAACCGACGAGAATATCATTAACAGCTTAGCGAAACCCATTTATTTGAAAAGAAAGAAAACAGGGAAGATTATAGAAAAATAGCAAAAAGGAACCTGTTAAAACGTTAACTCTATCTGATTTAAAGACATTATCCACGATAAAGTTCTAAAAATTGATGAAGAAATGAAAATATTTCATATGACATAATGCAGAAACTTTTAACATGTATATTTTTCGCCAGTGGGGCGTCTGCAATAATATGAAAAATAAATTTTAAAATTCCTGTTCAAGAGATAGCAGAGCAGCAAACTTTTGCATGTTTGGATATGGAAAGTGATCAGATTCTTAAAAACCTTTTATGCGTCTTATCTAAATTTGTATCATTCGCTCTACGTATGCATCCGTTTGTTTTCAGCAATGATGCAGTGCTGTGTGGCTATAAATTAAGTCTGCTTGTTGCTTTTCATACCTTACAGATTACAGAACTCTTTGGAGAGGACCGAATTCGCAGAAGGTAGGATAATGTCGACACTTAAGCATCTATTGCTTGCTGAATTGAGTTTAAAGTGGTCTTTCATTTGTAGAAGTGGTTATTTTTTATGACAGTTTCAAACCTGTATGACGTTTTTCAATCTTGAAAAGGAAAAAAAAAGGCTTTGCCATACTGTTTAATATCGAAAAAAAGACTGAAATTAACCTTAAAACTAAACGTGATACATGGTTGGTGGTTCTAAAAGGCTACACCATTTCTGCTAATCTAGCAAATGCTATATGGTAAACTCACTTTGGACATCGCGCAGTAAAATCTTAGCACCTTTGTTTTATCTTTTAATTTGTTTTTTCGGTTATGTGATATATATATTGGCATTAAAACCCTTGAGCAGTTTTACGCTTTTGCTAATCGTGAACGTTTTGTAGCGAAACTTTTCATCTCATTATTCATGTGCTCAAAATAAACTTAACATCAAAGTTCAGACGAGTTCAAAATGTAAACATCCATTAGCCATTTCCTTTGACTTAAGAAAACAAAACTTGACCTCTATATGATACTAATAATTGTAATTCAACGATCGGAAGTAACAGTTCATTTATATTGGAGTAAATATAGTATATGTTTAATTTTTCTTTACAATAACATCTAAAATATGCTGTGTATAACTAAGCGTTTTGCGTCTAATTTTCACTAAGTCTCATTTTCTTCATTAATTTTGGAATCCATCCCGAACTCTAAAACTAACGCCCCCCTTTTTCTACTCTTCATAAATATCTTCAACAATCCAAAGAAAGGACAAAAAAAAAATGATGAAAAACAAATGCATATTTAGGCTGCTTGAAAAGAGACGAAAGGCGAATAACGCTAATCATATTGACCGCATTTGAAAAAGAAAATAGTCAAGTATAACACCCCATTAATATCAAAGCTCAAAGTAGATTAAGTCATTCCTTCGACTGATTTTGACGGTTAATGTTAAATTACCGCCTTTATTAAATTTGTTATTCGTTAATGGTTATTTCTTTTCCATGGTTAAAAAGACAAAACTCCGTTGCTCGCTTATTAACAGATAACGTGGGCCATTTCAGTTTAGGTAGACTTTATGTTGCTTTTAATAAATTTAACCCATTATCTTGTTCAAAGAAGTCATAGAATCCTGTACAATATTTTGAAGTGTTAGTAAAAGTGGGGGCTGACTTTGTGCACAGTTTTTCTGCTGAGCTCTTTTTTAACTCATTTGATTTATTCTCCATTGCTTTTATACTCGTTGATGCAGCCCAAGATAACAAGCAATATAGTCTGCGCTAAATTGATTAATATATATTTTATGACTTCTGAAGGTCGAAAATTAATTTTTATTCAGAATTAGGCAGACATTAATTCTACAATCATCCTAACCCAAATTTAGCACGCAATTCAAAGAGTATATCGAGCTAAGACAAAAGCGGGAAGTAGCAATCCAAATTACTTTGTTCTTTGTTCAATTCGATGGGGTTTGTAGCAAGTTTGTCTAGCTCAACAGCAAAATATGAATGGACAAAATTGAAACAGCTTTACCGTAAAAATCCTATGGTGTTGGGCGAGTCAATGCTCAATAGATGCTGAATGAAACACGAAACTTCGGCTTCGTTTTTAAAAGTCAACAGAAATCTTTCTTTCATTTTCCTGACAATGATTGTATTGTTTTAAGCTTGAGGCCAAGAATTTATCACGTTTCTTTTTTATATATGCAACTTTCAGATGTTATTCTCATAAGATGGTATTTAAGTAGATTGCCCTAGATTCGATTTAAAGCTGACTAATGTTAAAATTTGAAAAAGCCGTGAAGAGAAGCGTAATAACATAAGAGGCGCTTTCGTTCTGATCAAAACATTGCGGTTTGAATTTCTGGAAATTTCCATTGGCGAATGGAACAGCATTTCTCGGAATTTCCGGGGGAAAATGGACAGTCTCGCGAGGTATACCTAAACTACCAGGAATTTCCCTCCCATTTAATTTTCCTATCTGAATTTTCGTAATTCATGATTAAATGGTTAGAATAGAATGAATGGGAAGCGCGCCAAATTATTAACTTGTGCGCCATTCTAACTTTGGTCCCTCAGATCTGACACAGAAATCCATTCACCTTCACGATGAACAAGACACTTCTTACAGTCCTAGTGATCGTGCTAGTCGTTGGTGTTTTCACGGAGCAAGGTGACGCTATACTTCGTGCTGGCAGGGATCGAATCGAGAAGGCACCAAGTGACTCTAAAATGCAGCAAAGGGAGACAGAAGATGTGGTTGACGTACCTTACTGCATTATGCCAAGTAAGGAGATTTGAGATGTAACGTAGGAATATTTCCGTTTTATGTCATTTGTATAGCTAACGATATAACAAAAGCTGGTTCTGTGTGAGGTCAGTATAATAGCACGTAGAAAGAGACAGCCCTACATTACGTTTACGGCTTCGTCAATTAGCGGTCATTTGTCGAGTCCCATATCCCATATTGTTATGTAAAACAAGCGAGGTATATATTTTTTTAAATTGATCTTTGAAAGGGAATAAACGTACTATAACATAATAATTTCCCTGATAGACTTTTCATTCTGTAATATTATGACCGGATTTCAATTCGAGGAGAAAGACACGCTTATTGCAGACTTTTTAACCAAAAATATAAATCTTATATTTAATAAGGGTATCCTGGCCTGCCATCCAGCAAAATATCTCAAGCATATAATCCTCCGATCATGGTGTTTCAAAGGAACCAAGTAATCCTTGCCCAGAGTCCATTCATCGGTTCCTTTGATGCACCATGATCCGAGGGATCTTGTATTGATCTGTTTAGTAAAGAAAAGCAAAATCTGTTTTTCAGTTTAAGAAGCCAATCTTGGATACCGCCCTCCCCTCCTAAGAAACACTCCTTTGGACGATGGCATCAAACCCCGGCCTTTGCTCCTCCACAATATTATAGTTTTGTGGTTGATGTCAATTGTGAACGTATATGCGTATAAGGATAAATCTACAGGTTTCGAGTCTGTTTACTAAGGAACTATATGTCACAATAATCAGTTAATGCCACAATGCTGTTCTTTCAAGAATTTTCTATTTGTTTTAAATTTGTTTTATTTCGCCTATTTTTTTCGTAGACGGTGAGTGGAGAAAGAAGTGAAAAATCTCAACGATGATAACCAATGCCCAAAGACGAAGAAGCTAACTATCGTAGTCGCTAGCTCGATGGTTCAGGAGAAGAATCATGTAAAAGTAGTGATTAACTGATAAAAAATTAGAAAATCTGAATAAAATATGTGGCTATGACAACATGCACATGCGAAATGATTATTGATTAATGATAGATTAATTGATCTGCTTTCTTTCCTATCTTTCTTCCTTCCCTGCCTCCTTAAATATCTATTATTTCTTCATAGCTTGATTGGCTATTGCCCAAATCGTCACCTCAGTAATGTTCTGTATGTCGTCCAACTGTGTATTGTAAATGAGAGATAAACAGGTAGGTAGACCACAAATTATTAGGAACACATTCAATTTTTTTTTTTGGTTATCCTCCGATATCTTCGGGCCTCTTCTGCTTCGGAAATGCTTAGAAATTGATCGAAAACATTCAGAAAACTTTGGCAAAAAATTTTATGAATCTTTGAAAATTTTAGGTAGATCAAACTTATACTCTAGAAGCTGTGTTCACATTAAAGCCGAAACATGATTAGAGTAAACATGTTTCAAGGAAAAATGTTTCGCCTAAACATGTTTGTTATTGCATTGCTCACATCAGTTGTCAGTTTCAAACACGTTTCATGCATGGTTGTATAATTTATGCTGTTCAGTTCATGGTACTCGCATAAATTTTTTACACTTCATTAAGTTTTGCGGCAATGTTCTCCCAAATATTCTGCTTTCTACCCATCGCCGATAATTGCCAGTTGTATTTCTTTATCGGTTCGTATTTCAACTAGACATTTGGCCTCATAATAGCCACAATTTTGGTTCTTTTGGGCAATCGCCTCCTCTCTGCATCCAACCGCCATCTTTAACGTGTCTGGTCTGATCATGATTAAAACTACCTCGCGAGGTTGTTTTAATCATGGTCAGAATAATCATATTTCAACCATGATTCGCGCAATGGACTGTCTGATGTGAACACTTTCCATAACGAAACATGTTTCATTCGTGATCAGACTAATCATGTTTCGGCCTGGTGCGAACACAGCTTAGAATACTCCCCTCGTGTTCGGTTATAAGTAAGAGGTTAATTGCTGGTTTTCACTGTCATGCCATCAAAAATAAAATCGTAACCCTTCAAAACATGAATTAAAGAATCTGGGATGTGGTAGATTATTGATATATAGGCAAGCTCGCAAAGAGTTCGGAATGCGTGATTTTTCATAGGTACGTTATTCGGAGAAATGTAACTGAATTGTCTCACCCTGATTTATAGAGTTTTGCAAGGTGACGCCATGTTGTCGGAGGGGCGCCAAATTGGCGGCCATAAAGTAGCACAAACATCTGTCACTGATTTTTGCAATTAAAACGACAAGTTATAACTCTAGAGCTCCGACACGTTGAATCAGTCAGCAGAAGATTTAAGGTCCGGTAATACGGGCAGCATTTTTCTTCAACTTGTCTCGCAACATTGTTGCATTGCAAGTTGAAAACCTCTGTTGCGCGTATGATATATAATACCAATGACATCACATTCTTACTAAACGTAAGTTCGTTGTAATTAACGTACACGTTTATACAACATAGCGGCTTTTCTATGCAGTATAGTTCGCCAAACTGAGATAAACTATGATTTAATTTTATAGCATCGAGCGTCCTTTATGAATTTAACAGCCGACATTGGCTACAATGTGAAATTTTCTCTCTCCCTCTCCGTCTCCTATTTACACAACTATCTGACAGTGATTTTATTGCATATAATAATCTGCTTATGCGTAGTTGCTTTCACTTCTGTGATAAAAATGGCAGCTCAATTTCCAGCGTTGTCGGCCGGAAAGCAAATATGCCTACTAGACCAAAACAGCGAGAAAGCAACTGGACTCCAGGCCCTTACACATTCTGCCGGTAAAATTTCGAGCCTCAGGAGCACAAAATATAATACAAGGGGCATTAAATGTTTCATTCACAAGGAAAGTCAATTTTGAGAACATATCCGGTCCTTCCCATGGAGAAATTTCCCTCTCTTGCAATACCCAGAAGTGCGATAATGTTGCAACAACTTATTATCCAATTTTCGCTCTATTATCTGTCAAGTGGTCGCTAACGGGAGGTTAAAAAACAAAAGGATTTTCAAACTTTTAGCTCTAAAAGTGGTC